GGGCGTTTAGTGACCTGAACCGCCTGCCGGAGGGAAGCGGGTTGAACAGGTGGTGGGCTGGGTGGGCAGAGTCTTTGAGAATGGACCTGGACCTGGAGAGGCAGCGGGATTCGGCGAGCTTTTCCAGGGAGGGCAGAGGGTGGCCTATGATCTTTTGGGCTGTGTAAATGACCCTCTGCATGGCCTTCCTGTCTGCTGCTGTACATCCCGCATACCATACTGTGATGCTGAAGGTGAGTATGCTTTCGATGACTGTCCGGTAGAAGGACACCAGCAGCTTCTGTTGTAGATGGTTTTTCCTGAGAATTCTCAGGAAGTGCATACGCTGCTGGGCCTTCTTAGTTATTGCTTTAGTGTTGGTGAAAGAGAGTGAGTGAGTCTCTGTGGGGAAATTAGGGAGGGGTTTTTACTATGGTTTAGTGTGGAGAGCGGGTGGTTAATTGGGGATGTTTTATGTATTGAGCATTTACGCCTAGTAACTGCTCCTCTTAGAGTGACTGTTTGCTGTGCTTTGTGTTATTGAATTATTATGCATAATAATGAAGTGTTAAAGTCTAACCTATCCGGTCTTTAGACCTTTTGGGGGTGTGCCATGCTGCGTGATGGTGGGTGGCGCCAGTTGCTGGCTTGGTGTTCCGTGGATTAGACAGCGTAACCGTATTTCTGCCATATTGGTTATTTGTATCAGTAAAAACAGGACATGTGGTGGTAGGGATGGGTGATATGAGCATAATGTTATTGTATTTATTAGTTTGATATGGCATGGTTAGTTATCTATTATGGTTAAAACTATGTTGATTACAGTCAACTGTGATTTGTATTTGTACTTGAAGGTCTTTTATAGATGTGCATACTTATTGATATATGTATGCAGTTTAATATGTTACCGTCGTTTTAAGAACACGTATTAGTGGTGGAGATGTAAGTCAGGGCCAATCTTATCCGCAAAGGGCCGGTGTGTGTGCAGGTTTTTGGGATAATCTGTAGGTCAGCTGTTCAAACCCAGGTGTGAGGACTCTTCAGACAATCAGTCCTCTAATTAGTAATCTAATTAGGGAGTTGTAGCGAAAACCTGCATACACACCGGCCCTTTGCGGATAAGATTGCCCATCAATGTTCTGACCGCCATATTGAAGAAGTCAAAGCAATCCTTCTCACTGTGCAGCTTTTCGTTGTAGAAACAGGAGTGGATCCTTCTCCAGCAGTTGTGTTCACTGATCATTCTTTATGTTTGTATTTGACGGTCATGTGATATTTGCTTGCAAACATATATTTTGCAATCTTCGGAATTGTGCTGGGTGGTGTACCTGTTTGTCTGAAATGAATAATAGAACTACAATGCACCAGTTTCCTAATCACTCTAGCTGCTGATCTGAGACCAGTTTTTCACAGACCTGCATTCTCCAGCAAAGATCAGTAGTGATGTTAGGAAATTGGCGGATTGTAATTGTATTATTGACTTCCTTTAGCAAAACATTAGCAAAATACTAATTTCTCCTATGTGAAATATTAAATATTGTCAAAATACCACCAGTAAAAGGATTTATCTCATACAATAAAACGTGAAGGTTTTTAAAAACGTGTTTTAACCACAGATGTTATTTTTACCAATTTTGTGAAATTCCAGTCACTTTTCTCATACAATTTTTGCTGTGGGAACCAGGTCTTCAAAAATGTTAACAAACCGCCTTCAAAATGATGACCCGACTTGCATTTTCTATTGGCCTATAATTGGAAACTTGCCTGTCATGTCTCGTAAATGTACGTCAATGGAAAATTCTTAAATTCAAAATTGGCTGTCAAAATAAAAGCTGCCTGAAGTATCAGGGATCGGGTAATGAAAGCCCCACCCACCCACACTCTCAAAAAGAGGCCAATTAGTGTAACACAAAGGAAAATCCAGCACCAATGACATATATTTACTACACCTGCTCTCACATGATTCCAAGTGCAATGATTTGACCGCCATATTGGACTAGTCAAAGCAATCCATCACATTCTGCAGCATTTTGTTGTAGAAATCGGTGTGTATCCTGCTCCAGTGATATAACCTTCCACCAGTTGGTGTGTTTACTGAGCATAGCATATTTTTGTATTGAGAATTGTGTGATATTCCCTGTCAAACACATTTTGCAGTCATACTCCAACATCCCGAGACCTATACTTGGATGCACAGGCGGATCTAGAAAATTATTAATGATTGAAGCATGAAGTCCTTCTTCCCAATACATCTTCTAGTCAAAAACACAAGACAAATTGCTTTGCTTAACCTTTTTCCATATGCATAGAGAAAAACTAAACGTTTTATTTTGCCATTTTGCATGAGTACATTTTCACATACCCTAACCTGCTTTCCTTTGAAATACATGCTCATACATACAGTTAAGAGCAAAAGCTGAGCTAAGCCTTGCTCAAAGGCCCAGTGGAGACGTGACGATTCTGCCAATGATAGGATTTGAACCAATGACCTTCCGAGTACAGGCAGAGAGCCACAAACCACGTCCACCCACCCATGCTTTAAATCTGTGAAAAATCTGGGAATTCATGGCTAACGTTTGTTGCATCTACAATAAACACTTATGAAATGCACTTTTTTGATGAAAAAATATGCTTTGCTTAATTGGTTTTCTGCACTCAGACCTGTTGTTTTGTACTGTCGTTCACGTTAGCCACTAAAACAAGCATGATTTAAATGCATATGAAAGAAAACTCAGAAGTTACAGGGCTTTTTTTAAAGAACAGAGAGGTGAGTTTGTCATTCTGACCCAACTCCCATCGCCTATACACTGAGCTGCAGAGAGAACAAACTCTGCTTTCAAAACTCTGCTGTTAACTAACAGGACCCCGAACATAAATAGCTAGGGTTGTTATACCCTGTGAAATACAAACATTTTTTGTCTTCTGTTTTATATACTCTGTAATACGCAAATGTCTCATGCGTACAGACTAAAAACAGCCAGGCTCACGAACCTGGGGAAAACATTTAGTTCAACAATGCATCACAAACCTTATGCACAAACCTTAATACATGCACTGATGTGTCTAGGTCTGCATTCCAGCTCAGGAAAAAATAAATATTTCTTCAGCAGCGGAGTGAATCTTTACAGGGAACAATACCAAGTATTTAGAGATAAAAGGTATGATTTTGAAATTATACATATGTGAATCGCTAAAAATTGCATTGTACCTGCTTTTCACATTACACTTTGGGAGCAAAGGGAATGCGCTTCTCATTTCCCAGCTTATTCCCATTCCTGGTGTCACGTCACCCACACAGACGTGCATCTGGCGCAGCTCCCCTCCTCCTCAGCCAGGCGTTAGTGCTGCAGTGGAAGCTGCATCGCAACATCTGCCGGGCGCATGTGGGGCTTTCCGCATGCGTCCCCCTACCCCCCCCCCCCCCCCCCCCCCCCCCCCCCCCCCCCCAGGTTATAAATAGAAGCTGCTACCCCACCTCCTGCCAGCTTCTTCCTGCTCTCCTCCCCCACACTGCTGTTAGAAAGCCGCACGCGGATGCGCACGCGGATGCGCACGCGGGGACACGCCGCGGATGCCGTGAGAGCACTTCGCGTTTCGGCGTGCACGTGTGAGAGAGTGTGCACGAGGACGGCTTTGGAAATGGAGAGCCATCAAATGAAATCACTGCCTGTAAACGTGTGTGCAAGGCGCGCTTTCTTCCCTCGTCTCCCTTTCCTCCCTCTTTTGTCTGTCCTCTCCCCCTTTATTCTGCTGTCAGCATGTCTTGGTGAAAATTCACGTCCGCAGCGCGGCTCCCGTCTGGATGCGTACAGCCTGCGGTGAGTGCGGCAGGGAGTTCCTCACTGTGCCGCAGTGGGATCCCCTGTTTGATGCAGGGAAACCCACACACACACACACACAAGCAAATTAAGGGTGAACGAAAACAAGCATGGCACACAGTCAGTCACTGGCAGTGGCCAAACAGATCAGACAGACTCGCAGTCCCACATGACTAATGCCAAGGGAAATGTCACTCTCCCAAAGGTACAGACCCCCAGTCCTCTGCCCTGCCTTTGCAAAACAGCAACACACACAAGCACTGGCTGACCCACAGCTCGTCCCAGTAGTAAAGTTGGCTACTTTGAAAAAGGCAGCATTGCAACGCAGAACGATCTACATTAGTGTGTTATTCCTGTGCTTCATAACACCATAATTCATTCATACATTTTTCTACTGGCTGCACCAGAGACATCGCTCCGTTTGTGCGATAGCCCTGAATTACAGGAGACCCCCACCCTCAGGCCCCGCGCCCTACAGGGTTCCGGGCGTGCGTGTGAGTGTGTGCACGCCACAGCATCTCCGTTCCGTTCGCCTGCAGTCGCATCGGCCCTCTTAGTGCCGAGTGCCAGCTCATTTGATATTCCAGAACTTCTGCTGGAAGCTACGTGAATTCAGACATAGGTGACAGCACGAGTGAGTGGTGTGAGTCTTTTTAATTAGCCACTACGTCGTTAATGCCCTTGTTGGCCGTCAGCAGGAATAATTCACGGTTTGTTAAATCACAGTGTGATCGCATGAATGTGGAAATGTCTGAGTCCAATAACTGCATATAAATAATACCTTCCTGTACAGCTGCTCAAGGTCATTTTAAACCTGGTTATTCTTTGCAATCATTTTTTCCCCTGACAGTGTAGTTACGATGCACATCCATCACTGCATCTCAGACATGTACTGAGCCCGGATTCGCAG